CACATATACACCTATATAGGGGAGTGGGATACATACACATCTGGATGGGGGGGCCCATGCACAGCTGGAGGGCCAATACTTCACATTTATGAGCACTCTGCACTCTGGCCCCATCTTCCACTCTGGCCTGCCGGCTAAGACTAGACTTCTAGAAAGGCTACCTTGTGAAGAGGTATGTACCAATGCTTCAGGGCTCTGAATTTCTCAAGGAGCCAGAAATCTGGATTTTTATGTGAAGTCTCCTTAAGTTTTAAAACGTTGGCTCCCAATCAAAATAGACATATGAGTGAGGGGATACTGTACCCCCCCCCAAAGGGCCCATTGGTGCAACTAATGTCTGGTGCAACTCTAGGCAGGATGCACAAAGGCTGGTGAATGAAAATCAGCGGCCTAAAGGAAAATATTTCCTCACAGGTCTCTAGTGGACCTCCAGGCCACTCACACATCCTGTCTTCCCTCCCATGGCTGGTGCTCAGATTCTACTTCCCCTCTGACACATCTGAAAAAGAGCATTAGAGCAATTGAATCTACAGGAAGCAAAGCAAACTTCCAAGCACCAGGAGCCACCAAACAGGATATGCAGGGAATATGCAGTCCACATGCAGGGAATAGCCTGGAAACTGGGAGTCAGGACACCTGAGCTGCTAAGTCATCTCTCTGAACCTCAGTTTCCACATCCATGAGTTGAGGAGAACATGCACATGTGTCTCACACAGATGTGAGATCACTGACAAGCACTTCATGGTCATCCTGATTCTACTAGGCATGATGCCAGACCCACCACTGGACCTGGATACTGCTTACCTCACACATTTACTGGGGCAGAGATACTGTTCCTCTTTTCTTGCTTTCATTTGCAGAAGGACTGCCTGATTCAGGCACCCGGATATCTCAAAAGGAAACTTCTGGGACTGTGCTGAGGGGTTCCAAAGTTATGGGATCCCTTAGCTTTCAGGCAGAGTCCAGTTCTGGGACCCACAGCACCCGCAACTCTGAGAATTTGTCAGAATCTAAATTCTCAGTCCTATCAGGAACCAGACCCTCTGCAGGGCTCAGGCTGCAGATTAATAAGCCTCCATTGAACCCTGAAGGCTTATTCAGACCTCACATTTGAGAATCCATGTTTCAAAGGAACCAGCATCCGCCTACCACCCACTACCCACACACAGGTAGGTAGGGGAGGTTTCCTTTAAAAAACAAAGCCAATGCCAGGTGTGGTGGTACATGCCTGTAATCTCAGCTACTTGGAAGACACAACAGGATCATGAGTTTGAGGACAGTCCAGACAAAGATTGTATCTCAGAAACAAAAATAAAAACAAAAAGGACTTGGGGCATGGCTCAAGAGGTAGAGATCTTGCCTAGCATGAGGAAGGAAGGAAGGAAGGAAGGAAGGAAGGAAGGAAGGAAGGAAGGAAGGAAGGAAGGAAGGAAGGAAAAGACGGAGGGAAACCCAGAATGCAGTATTCAAAACTGAGATGACACCTAGACGAGGGGGCTGGTGACTCAGTGCTGAGGAGCTAGTCAGAACACTCCCAGTGGTGTGGCCTGGCACTCCAATGACAGGACCTACTCCCCACACAGACCATCAGGGTTCAGGGCTCACCCCCTAGGTAATGGGAACTTCGCCAGATTCACAAGTAAGGAGGACAGTGTGTGAGAGGACAGGGTACAAGGGCAATGCTCATTCACAGAAGTTTACAGACGGCTATAAGGAACCAAAGCAGGCATCCCAGGGTCTCAGGCAGAAGAACCAGTTGCGTGCCACACCTCCACCCTCAACCAGCATTTGCAGTACTCACACCGTGCATTCCTCCAGGGATGTCTTCCTTGGAGCCACTAGAGTCCCAAAGGCAGGGATTGTTAAGTGGCTATGTACCTGAAGTGAGCAAAAGACATCAGAGTATGGCTCTGAAGGGTGGCAGTCCCATGCAGAGTGCTATCTGTGGCTTCCAGGTACCCAATACAAAACCAATCCAAGAGCAGGGCCAGCTCTCCCACTTCTCTCAGCCCCCATCACCTACTGTGTATGGAACCACATCCAGGCTGATTCATATCATTTTGCAATTTTGTCTCTCCTTCCAGACAAGCAACAAGATAAGAGTCTGGTAGGGTCACAGTGCTACCCTTGAGAGGAGGCAGATACTATATCATCCCCAGCCACACCTCACTTAAGATTCTAATCTTTTGCTCAGACACCTAACCCCAAGTTGTTTGGACTAATAAGGAGGAGGGATAAGTAAACAGACAACCACAATAAAGTGACATGAATGCTAACGATGTGGTATTGGGGTAGGGCAGGGTGGGCAGGTCACAAAAGCAAGGAGGCATCCTGCCCAGAGGGTCAGAGATTTCAGAGAAGTCCACCAAGCAGTTATTAGCCTTCACGTGGCCTCCCTGCGCAGGGCCTGTGATGCACATGGCCCTGTATCTTCGCTGCCCAGCACTGCAATGTTTATTGATATGGATGCATTAGGTTACCATGATTTAGGACAACAGCCCTCATGTCAGCCAAGGCTTCTGTACTCACAAGATAACCTTCATTCCCTTTTGGCATCTTTGAATTCTGCTCTATGCATACTGCAGCGAATTTTGCTCATGCCCTGAAGCTCATGCTCAAGTAGGGGAGACAGTAACTCACCCTATGCAACTTTAAAAGTTGAGAAAGGATGTCACAGAGGGGGGCCAGACAGCCAACCAGATGTCCCTCACAATGGGCACTACATCAGTCCCCTCAATGGCCCACAGCTCAGAAACACAGGTTCTCAGTTCAGGAAGAGCTGTCCTTGCTGAAGGGGGCTAATTCACACTGAACAGACTCACAGACACCAATGTCTAAACAACCACAAGGCCAATTTACTATTTATCTTTCTGGCAGCTATTCATGTCTGCCATCCGGGGTGTACGCTGAAATGCACGATCAGTGCACTCACTCCACAAGGATTTCATAACCACTGAGTGTCCATTTAACAACGTGTGAGTATCTGATTGATGGAAATAACATAGCCAAATGAGGCGGGGACAGAAATGGTAGGTGGAATTGTGTAATGAGCTTGGCGTCTAACAAGCTGGGGTTCAAACGCTGTCCACCATTTATTAAACAGGTAACTGGGGAAAATTGCTTAACCTTCCTGAGTCTCTGTCCTCCCCTGTAAAATACGGGCATAACAACACCCCTTCACAGGATTATTAATGAATTAAATGGGGCTACACGTGCAAACCATCTAGTTGTACTTATGTTTACATTTATCTGGAAAGGCTGTGACACATAATGGTTAAGGAAACAGGCTTAGGGATCAGAGAGATCTGGGTTTAAATCCTAGTTCTGCCACTTACTGGAAATATGATCTTGGGCAAGCAGCTTTTTTCCACCGAGCCTCAATTTGCTCATTTGTAAAATGGGAATTAAAATTCCTCAGATTCCGAGAAGTCAACAGGGTATTCTAAAGACTTAGCAAGTTTCTAGGATATGATCAGCATTCAACAGTCTGATTGAGAATATTTTTTATGTTATCTATGAATACACAGAAGTGATGGAGCATACTAAAAAAAGTTAAAATTAGCACGAACTTTTAAAATGAAATTAAAAATCGGGCCACCAAACATATATTAAAAACTTCGTATTTAGTTTTTTAAGAACTTTGCTGAGACAAGCCTCTTACCTTGTAGTAGTTTCACACCCCTATTTTCCAAGTTTCTAATATAATGTCATTCGTGTGCAGCCAAGCAAAAACTCGTTTCAATACTGTTAAGTCATGCTCCACAGTGAATGGAAGCAATGTGTCTGGGATCTACCTTTCCACTCTGCTGAGGGGAACCCCGGTGCCCATAAAGCAGTATACATTCGGTGTGATTGTAACAAAAGCCCCTGACTGAAAGGACACAGAGCAGTTCTCTCAATTCTGCATCATGCCCTCCTTTGGTTTATTCTCCAATTTGTAAATGGCTTGTGAAGAGTATAAATCATAGAAGACTAATCTTGGATTTCAATAAAAAACAGATGTTTGAATTCTAACCTTCTTGCAAACTCGACTGGCTTAGAACAAAGGGCAGCCCCTCATCAACCACAGTGTTGCTGTTTCACCCCGATCCAGGAAACGACGCAGCAGCTCGGACTTCGCCAGGCTGCTCCTCGGAGGTCTCAGGGCCACACGGCCTGGAACCAGAGGCTCTGCCACCCAGGTAAACCGTCGAGGTTCATTGTGGAGGCTGGTGTGGTTTTAAGTCTTAGCTGCAACTTTTGCACAAAATCTAAGTTTCTAAAAGAATGGGAGAGTTGCTACAGAAATTGTATTCACTGAATACAGTACTGGCATGTCATCACGAACACCTGCCCTGGGCTACGGTTCACCAGCAGGAATCCAGTTTACAAGCTGGGCTGGGCTGCGCCGAGGGTGGCCCGACGTGGCGGGCAGAGCCGCAGCGGAGCACCATGGGGGAGGATGATGCAAGCAGGGAGGGAGCCGATCGGGGTTTCACAGGGCGGAGGCACCACCACCATCCGCTCTCAGGGTCCCCAATCGCACGCTAAGGTGGCGTTTCCGCTTTGGAAAACGGGGAACCACAAAAGTGAGGATTCCTCACTACCCGCGGAAGCAGCACCTAGACTGACAGAACCAGGCTTGGGACCGCGGAGGGAGACGGGCGGCCCCGGGGCCGGGATGAGCCGCGCACTAGAGCTCATTCGCTGGGGGAAAACACGGCCTCGGGGGCGGCTGCGAGCACGCTGGTCCTGCGCCACTGGGAGTCACCACGGCCCCACCCGGCGAGGGAGGGGGCAACCACCATCTTCCCAGAAAGCCGAACCGATAGTCCTGCCCCACTGTCGCGAGACCGCAAAGGCCTGTGGGAAGGGCGGAGAGGGGAAGGGAAGGAAGTCCGACCCCGGGCTGGAGGCGGGACGAGGCCGCGAGTGGAGGCCCAGGAAACGGAGGGCGGGGGAAATGTGCGATTGACGCAGCCTGCGAGCCAATGAAGCGCGAGCTCGGGCGGGTCTCCGGCCAATGGGTAGTACGGCCCGTCGTGGGGGGCGGGCGCCGGGGCCGAGGGTAGCTTGAGCGCGGCGGCGGCGTTGTTCAGTCAGAGCGAGAACATTCCAGAGGTGAGTCCGCGGGGGGCGGCGGCCCGCGCCCCTGCCCAGCGCTCCCCGCCCCTCCCCTCCGCGGGCCGCCGGCGGGGGCAGGCACCGCCCGGCCGCCCGCGGCTCACAGCCGTGTCCCCGACCAGGTCGCCAGGCTCGGCGTTGCCGGTGTGGACGCGGACGTCGCTGGGACAGCCCCTCCCGCTGCTCGGCGGCGGCACCTGCCCAGCCGCTTCTCCGCTCGCCACCCGCCCCGCCGCTTCGGACCCGGATTCCAGCGCCTCTTCCTCCCAGTCCCGGGCGAGCCGCGTTGGGTTTATGTCTTTATTTGACGAAAACGGTGAGTCGCGGGCGGCGGGCCATGGCGGCGACAAGATGGCGGCGCGGCCGCGTGACCCGCCGCGCGTGTGGCGCAGTTTGGGGGTGGGGGGGAGGCCGGCCTGGGCGGGAGCGCGCGCGCGTGCGGGCGCCCGGCTGACTCAGGCCCGGGGCGCGTTTGTGAGTCACGGCGGCGGCCGCCGCTCCTCCACCGCCCGGCCGGGAGAGGCGCGGCGACGAGCGCCCGCCGCGGCGTAGCCATGGGGACGAGGACGAACGAAGGTGGCAGCGGGCGGGGGGGCGGCGGGGTCCGCGCGGAGGCTCCGGCGGGCCCATGGCTCCCGCCGCCGACCTGCCGCTCTGAAGTAAGCCGGCCGCGGGGGACCTGGCCCGGCGCTGCCCGTTTCAACGGCGTCCGGCGGGGGAGGCGCAAGTGGATGAGTTGTGGGCCGGGTGGCCGGGCCGGGGAGTGGGGCCGCGTCGCCTCCCGGCGGTTGAGACGCCGTCGGTCACTCGCTGGGCGCAGGGCTCGGTGACACGCCCGCGGCGGCATTTCCCTGCTAGACACACAGTTGGTCAAAATGGAGGGCACACCTCTAGAGTGTCACCTGCTTGACACCTGAACCGGCTGGCTTGGTAGCCTTAGGAGAGTTGGGGAAGCGCTCGGAAGCGGGGCATGGCGTGATGGATGGCGTTAAACCTCGGGGATGTGTTTTGTTTTTTTTCTCGGTTTCTCTTTCAGAGCTGTTGCGCAGCCATTGGTACCTGTATTGGGGAAACATAGCATACAAGCAAGAAGCTTACAGCCTCAGTGGCGAAAAATTTTTCATGTCAGAGACCGAGAACTCTTGCAGTCGTTTATGTCATCCCTTCTTCTCCAGACAGAAGATACCAAAAAGTTGCAATCAAAGATCTCTTCATCTTATTGATAAAGCCACTAATAAGCCAAAATGTCTGTCAACGTCAACCGCAGTGTGTCAGACCAGTTCTATCGCTACAAGATGCCCCGTCTGATTGCCAAGGTAATACCCATCTTTGTTTTATAGGATGTCAGTCTATAATCCCTCTCCGTAGGTTTTGAAAGATTTGCGTTTTACAGGCAAGACCATGCAAAATTGAAATTCTTATTTCCTTTAGGTTGAGGGCAAAGGAAATGGAATCAAGACAGTTATAGTCAACATGGTTGACGTTGCAAAGGCGCTTAATCGGCCTCCAACGTGTAAGTAAAGCTTCTAGGAGAAATCTGAACAGGTATATTACAGATGGAATCTTGACAGTTTTTCAGCTTTAACATGTATTTTGCCTGGACTGTATGTACGTTAATTACCTTAAGTGTTAAATTTGGAACCTTGGGCTTTAAACCAGTCCATTGGTTCCCCTAAGTTTGCTAAACTACCCATGCAACACACTTCATTAACACCACAATTTTAAAACATGGTGAATCTTGTGTAAGTGTAGATGAATAATTAGCCATTAGTTAACTATGATGAATTAAATCATTTCTTCAAATAGATCCCACCAAATATTTTGGTTGTGAGCTGGGAGCCCAGACCCAGTTTGATGTTAAGAATGACCGTTACATTGTCAATGGGTCTCATGAGGCGAATAAGCTGCAAGACATGTTGGATGGATTCATTAAAAAATTTGTTCTCTGTCCTGAGTGTGAGAATCCTGAAACAGATCTGGTGAGTGCCTTTGAGATTTTTTTGTCAATAAAAGGAAATCCATAAATCCGTACTTGCTTTTGGAATTAAGTTCTGTGATAACACTAAGTCATGATCTTGGTGAGGCACAGCTGACTTAATTGTAAGTAAAATACAAGACCACAAATTTTGGAAGTGTTTCTGTGTCTTTTTTTTTTTTTTTCCTTAAATGGGTTACTGAATAAAAATATGCTGAATTTAGATGCTTTCTGAGATGTTTTCATACTTTGTTCGAGAAATTTGTATGGCATTTTCATCTTATGGGTGACGTATTTGTTTTTATTCTCTTGACAGCATGTCAATCCAAAGAAGCAAACAATAGGTAATTCTTGTAAAGCCTGTGGCTATCGAGGCATGCTTGATACACATCATAAGCTCTGCACATTCATTCTCAAAAACCCACCTGGTAAGTCTTCATAATAAACCTTGAAGGCCTTAACATGAAGAAGTTGTTGAAAACAAAAATAGTTTGTCATTATAAAACTAGTTTAAGGAACTTTCAAAGTTTCTACTGTATTTTACTTATTAGCTATAAGGTTTCATTAAAAAGTGTGTTATTTTATGTATCACTACAAGTGAAAAAGGCTGCTAATTAAGACGACATCTTAGGTTTGAGGAAACAGATTGTGATAGGAGCTCATCAAAGGATCTACTTTGGGGGCTGGAAAAGCTTACCTCATTAAACTTGTGTCCTTAGAACATTGCAAGCAACACTCTGTGGCAGATGATCAAAGCTGTCTGACACAATTTGAGCTTGCTATAGCAAGGAAGCCTAACCTATTCCGGTGTTCTCTCCTCTATGAGACAAGCCGTTATATAGGCTTAAACAGTGTTCTGTTAAGTAAAGCTGAGTTTTGAGGTATGTCCCTGTTCACACTTACGAGGACCATCTTTTGACTACCTGATAATTGGAGTCATCACCATTTAGGCTTATCCAGTAGTTTAGCACCCTTAATGATTTTTGTCACTGTTTTTTGCCAGATAATCCACCTGTGGAAAAAATCCACCTATGAAAGGCAGTGGATTTGGTCTGCAAAGCCCTTTAGAGCTATAAGTAGGGGACTGATAGCAAGGGGCAGGATTTTAAATGTTCTGATGAAGCAGTGGCTCACATCTAATCCTTTGCTGCTCAGGAAGCAGAGAACAGGATGATTTTGGTTTGAGGTCAACTTGGGCAAAATGTTAGTGAGACCTCCATCTCAAGTCAGTAAGTTGTACTTGGTAGTACATGTCTGTCACCCGTCTACACAGGAGGCATAAAGAAGAGGATTGAAATCCAGGGCAACTCAGGCATAAATGCATCATTCTGTTAAAAAAATAACTAAAGCAGAAAGGCTGAGGGAATGCCTCAAGTGATAGTGTCTGCCTAGTAAGCATAAGGCCCTAAGTTCAAACCCCAGGACCACCCAAAAAAATGTTCTGATGGGTAGTGATGTAAGACATGGGACTAAATTTATTTCCCATCTATTTCCCTATAGAGAATAGTGACAGTGGTACAGGAAAGAAAGAAAAGGAAAAGAAAAATAGAAAGGGCAAAGACAAGGAAAATGGCTCCGTATCCAGCAGTGAGACACCACCACCTCCACCACCAAATGAAATCAGTCCTCCTCCACATGCTGTGGTGAGTGCAGGGTTGACAACCTGGTGGGTACTAAAATTGTGTGAAGTACCTGGCATTTGGTTGAGGAGGACAGACAAGATAAAACTAGCCTTCAGTGCATTACTACATCAGTATTTGTGGTTCCAAGTGGTTTTTGGTTGCTTGAATTAAGATAAATATATTTCAGGAAGAAATGAATTTGATCCTGTCAACTTGAGGAATCTGAAATTTTATTTTTTATATTTTTAAGACCATTTCCAAAGCATCTTTGTTTTTATGAACAGGAAGAAGAGGAGGATGATGACTGGGGAGAGGATACAACTGAGGAAGCTCAGAGGCGCAGAATGGATGAAATCAGTGACCATGCAAAAGTTCTGACACTGAGTGATGATTTGGAAAGAACTGTAGAAGAGCGTGTCAATATCCTGTTTGATTTTGTTAAGGTAAAACATTCGCTTGATCTACAAAATGAATTTCACAGCCTCAGCCTTTTAGATACTTATTACTTTCAGGTTAATTGATAACTACTTTCTGTTATCTTTTTGAATACTAATGCATTAATGTAAGACTTATTTTCACTCTTATTTTCAGAAAAAGAAAGAAGAGGGCATTATTGATTCATCAGACAAAGAAATTGTTGCTGAAGCAGAGAGACTGGATGTAAAAGCCATGGGCCCTCTTGTTCTGACTGAAGTTCTTTTTAATGAGAAGATTAGAGAACAAATTAAGAAATATAGGCGCCATTTCCTAAGAGTAAGCAAGTTGTACCCATAGTTGAAATTATGGCTGTGTGACCTTGGGACTGTTGGCTTTAAATTACTTCTAATTCATTGTCATTCTGAAAAAACAGATAACTGACCACTTTAAAAGCCTGTGATCCATATGTGAATGCTGTATGTGGGTTCTCGTAGATACAGTAGTACAGGGTATCTGTATTTACCTTTTTGAACTACTGTCCTATGGGCCACACCTTTAAGGAACAACCTTAAGAAAATTAATGTATATTTGGATATTGGAATTACCAACTTTGAACACGTTAAAATTCTTGTTATTGCCTACTGTCTATTTGCAGTTTTGTCACAACAACAAAAAAGCTCAGCGGTACCTTCTTCATGGTTTGGAATGTGTGGTGGCAATGCATCAAGCTCAACTCATCTCCAAGATTCCACATATCTTGAAGGAGATGTATGATGCAGACCTTTTAGAGGAGGAGGTCATCATCAGCTGGTCAGAAAAGGTGGGGGATGTATCAAGAAATAATTTATAATGGCTAGTCTCTCTCTACTTTAAATTGCAGTCCCTGTGTTTGATTATAACTGGGTATTTTAAAGCTTCACTAGCAAATTGTACCGAAATTTTTTTAGGCCTCTAAGAAATATGTCTCAAAAGAACTTGCCAAAGAGATTCGTGTCAAAGCAGAACCATTTATAAAGTGGTTGAAGGAGGCAGAGGAAGAATCTTCGGGTGGTGAAGAAGAAGATGAAGATGAGAACATTGAGGTAAATACTGATGGAATTCTTTTTGGTGGTACTGGGGTTTGAATTCAGGGTGTCATGCTTGCAAGACAGGTATTCTACCACTTGAGCCATTCCACGAGCCCTTGTTTTGTGTTGGGTTTTTTTGTTTTTTGTTTTCCCCATGAATTTTTTGCCAGGGGCTGGTTTCAAACTTCGATCCTCTTGATCTCTGCCTCTTGAGTAGCTAGGATTACAGGCATGAGCCACCAGTGCCCAGCAGTGGTTGGTAATACGTGTTTGAGATTAAAAGAATTGTGAGTGGTAACATGAAATGACAATACAGGGTGATTTCTGATTTAAGATTAAAGATGAATAAAACATAGTCTCTCAATTTGGAAAATGTTTTGTTTGGGGGTTTTTTGGTTTGGAGTAGTGCTGGGTATCAAACCCAGGGCTTTGTGCATGCTAGGCAAGTGCTACATCCCCACCCTGGAAAATAATTACATTAATTGAATAATGAAAATCTAATCTCAGATTATGGAATAAAGATCATGTCACATAACTGATGAGTTTTTGCATGATGAAATTTTATCTTAAAAAATAGTGCATCTAAGCACTTTTTCTCCTTCATGACACCTAAATTTTTTTTCCCTCTTTTTTTTTCTTGTCGGCAGTAGGTATATGAACTCGGCCTCGTGCTTACTAAGCAGGTGCTCTAACCTCTTGAGCTTCTCTGTCAGCCCCATTTTTGTGATGGTTTTTTCTAAATAGGGTCTCATGAACTATTTGGAGCTGGCTTCAATCCTCATGATCTGTACCTCTTGAGTAACTAGGATTATAGGCTTGAGCCACAGGCACTTGGCTGTAACCCCTTGATTTCTTTTACACGAAGATTTGTTGGGATAACGGTATACAATTGGTAAAACTGTTCATCTTATCAGGTGGTGTATTCGAAGACTGCCAGCGTACCGAAAGTTGAAACTGTGAAGTCTGACAACAAGGATGATGACATTGATATTGATGCCATTTAAAAGGATGGATGCAACCTAGCTTAACAGTGTAATGCTGCAAATTTTTCTCCATTATCAGCCAGAAGTGCAACATGTATGTGCAAAAGCTAAATGGCTTAACATCATGCTACACTTTATACTAAAAATTATTACTGTGAGTGGTCTGTAATTAAGCCCAATGAGACATCTAGGGAGTCCATACACATCAGTGAGCAGATGTAGTTTGCTTATTTATAGCATGTTTCTTTTGGAAAAACTAGTGGTGGACACATTTGGATCACATTATAGTTATAAAAAATAAAGATTTGATTTTGGTCATTCTTCGGATTTGGGGCTCTGAATGGCTTATGCTGAAGTAATTGGCTCCTTTTTAAAATATCGCACTATCATTTAACCTGAGTCCTTGGAGCCTGGTAGATAGTTAGGTGCTGAAACTATACAGAGCTCTTCAGCAGGATGTAAACAGATATTTATAATGACCTTAGTTGGCCATTAAGAAATAATAGTACTTTTGAAGTTGTATCTGTAGTTCCTTCAAATTGGCATCTGGTAATTCTTTTAGTACTAAAGGTGGACTGATAATGAAATGACAGTGCAACATCTTACTAAGAAGTGAAAATGACCTGAGTGTCCTATAAATTCTTTTAAGAAAAAGTTTTGAAACTTGAAATTGTGGTTTATCAGTTCATGTACACTTGCCCCAAATTGTAGTCTTTAGAGTCATGTGCATTGCACGTTGGATGAGCCAGGGAAATTATTACATTAACAAATAAGTATTTTATGTGTATGTAGTGGTTGCTTTGTACTGAGAGAAAACTTAAACTTTGAGGTGTAATTAAATAGTAAACTATGATTTTATTTGGGAGAAACAGGAAAAGGTGCACTTAATCTCTAGCAGAAACAGCATAGTTTTTCAGCTTTTACCCTTAAATTATAATTTCAAAATGTTTGGACATACTGTATCTTGTGTTCAGTGTGGTTTTTTTCCCTCCCCCTTCAACATTATGCTTTGTTTATTTAATGCCTTTTACATTTGGACACATGGCTTACGCTTTTTAGATTTTGGTTGCTATCTTGCCAAAATAAGTGTTAACTGTGTTTCAGGCTTGATTTTTTTTTTTTTTCCCTCAATGTCTTATTTAGAGAAAGTTAAAATCATACTTCTAAGTCAGGGCCTGTATTTTGGTTTAAGACTTGGGATATTTTTTATTTCACATTGAATATCACTGGGTGCACCTGAGAAGTCTGGATGATGGCCTCTGGGTGTAGTTACCTGGTGAGCCCATCTAGGGTTTGAATTTGGACATACATAAAAGATTTTTTTTTTAACCCAGTTAGTCGATGTAAAGTCACTTGATATCGATTCTGACTATGTTTGAGTAATCATCTTCAAGGTAAAAATTTGGCATTTATTCCTTTAAACAAAAAGTACATTCTGGGAGTTTCTGAGGGTCCATGTTAATTTTGTGGGCACGCTGGCTCATATCATTCACCTCTTATTGCTTTGTCATCCATCTCAGATGATGAGACTTTTAATAACATGTATGTAAAGATTTTTCACATTGAAACTATACAAACATTTGATAAAAATAAAAACCTTGTTAGCTTGATATTTTAAGGAATTGAAACCTAGCAATCTTACTGGAAAACGATTATCTCCATCTACCTTTTTGATAGAGCATGGAGAGTGTGGAACAGGAGCCATATACCTGGAGGGAAAGTGCTGTGTCACACCAAAGAGAAAGGGTTTTTGCAAACTCAAATGTCTCCAAGGTTTCAAATTCTGATGCAAAAGGCCTGTTTACTGTTATTAATTGGAATTCTATAGATCAGCATACCCCATATCAAGCTGAGATTCTGTTGTAGAGCTGTGGGCTTTTGCTCTGAAAGGAAATACATTCAGGGCTTCTCAACACTAAGAAAAGGTTTTGGGTTTTGGACTAGAGTTGAGTCTGATGCCAAATTTCAGTGTAATTCAAATTTACATAATCTGGATTTTATTTAGAGGTTATTGTAATAGAGTAATCCTTTACTTTGCTCTATTGAATTGTCTTAAAATTTCCTGTTTCAAACAGCTACATTACTTGATTAAAACAATGTTAAAATTATATTTTGTCTTACCTTTAATATTAAAATTAACCTAAGGTTTTATTTTATAATGAGATCAAAGCCTTGAAAACTGGACTGCTTTGGAGTTGTGTTGGATGTTCTTCTGCAGGAATACTTGTGACTCATGTGCATAAAGTACATTGGTCATTTCATTAGACTACTGGCTTAAGTTTGATGCTCTTGTGTTCTGTGAATTGAAAGTCTGCCTCAGTTTTTCTTGATACCTTAAAATGTGCTTACTGGGGAAGTTAAATATATAGCTGTATAAACTTGCAATGCAGCATTAGCTCTCTTCATAAAGAAATGGGGAAGATGACTTTCTGAAACCAGGAGGCTCTAGTTTAGATCCTCAAGAAAGGACAGGAGGGATTCTCTAATCCAGCGCTTCCCACCTGAGAAGAATGTTGAGTTTGGGTGTATTGAGTACAGACTTAACTGTTCAAACTCCAGTTCTCAGCAGAGGGAGAAAAAAGCCACCCAAAAACCTTAGCACACCTTGAGCCATTTCACCAACCCTTTTTTGTGATGTGATTTTTTGAGATAAGGTCTCAAGAACTATTTGCTCAGGCTGGTTTCAAACTATAGTCCTCTGCATCTCTGCCTCCTGTGAATACTAGGGTTACAGGTGTGAGCCTCTGGCACCTGGCTTGATAATGGGGTCTTAAGCTTTTTTGCCTGGGCTGGCCTCAAACTGCAATCCTCCCAAGCCTCTGCCTCCTGAATAGCTAGGATTACAGGTGTGAGCCTCACTTGGGGTTCAAATTTAGGGTCTTGTGCTTGCTAGGCAGGTGCTCTATCATTTGAAGGGTAAATGAGTAGCCAAAGGTCTTATCACCATCTTGTACACTAGAGTCTGACCCTGTGAGCCTTTGCTAATACATTGGGAGCTTGGGATTTGTGTCTCTACAGTAGGGATCTGTACTGTGGTCCTGGCCCAGCAGAGGTCCTTTCAGGAGTCTTGATAACTACAGAATATTTATCCTCAGTATCTGAACCCAATGGATACTAGGCCTGCCCTTTAGTTATTCAATGATTTTACATGGTTGATCTTCAGAATCAGCTGGATTCTGTCAAGGGCCCTCCCTGCAAAACTGGGATAATCATGTGGTTGATGGATGAGTATAACCTACATGCAGCACTTGAAGCCCTGCTGGAAGATCCTGTGGTTGGAGTGTGCAGTGCCTGATGGGGGCAATAGAGGAAACAAGTTTGTCTTATGCTAGACCTTCAAGATACTGGAGCCAGTGCCACAGCAAACTCAAGGGCAGTGGCAGCTGAAAGGAAAAAGCTGCTTTTGACTGTGAAGCCTTCGTTGCTGGGTACAATCTCTGCCTTAGGTAGCCCTTATGTCATCAGCAACTCTCAATTTGCAGTGATGTCCAGACCAAGCCAGCTTAGTGGCTATAAGCAGACCATGCCTTCATAGGATTCCTTAATAAATAGCAAACATGGCAAAATAGCCATAGCTAGTCCACTCTGTTGCTGACTTTTAGAGGCCTGTGCTGCAGACGTTAAGTCCATGACTCCCATGTGTCACTTGGGTGGGAAAGTTGGCCCAAAAACTGACAGTGGTGGCCTTATCCCAGGAACTAACCACAAGAGAAGTCAGCTTGCCCTGGCAGCTGAGGGAGCTTCCCAGGAAGAACACCTGCAAGGTGGTTAGGTAAAGAATGGAATGATGTGTGAGAGATGGAAGACTGTACAAGGTCAGTCAGTGGGTGAGGTGCTTGGCAAAGGGATGCTTCCAAAAGTACACACTGACTGGCGGCTCAAGATTGATGCTTCTCATAGGAAACAAGCCCAAAGAAGAAGGTGCCCTGCCCAGGGACCCACAGCAAACCCCCTACATGATGGCTTCTTCCCAAAGTGGCACTGTCCCTTGAATGGCCATTGCCTATACCAGGAAGGATGTAGGTTAGTGATAAGAGAACTATATGGTCCTTCAAGTGGTTACACAGTGGGGAGAAGACAGTGTAGCATTTAGAGGGGCCTCAGGAGGTTGGAACTAGTAGAGGCCAGGAGGCATCTGAAGGGAGCCTGGGATGATCCTAGAGAGAGGCCGGGTGCCAGCTACTTGGGCATCACGTGGGTCCCTGAGCTGCCATGTACTTGGCCTTGGACAGGCTCACACCAGACTCCCGAATTCACCCACACACATCCTGGAGTTGATTTCGTGGCAGAGACAAAAGGCTAGGGGATACTAAGGGGAAGGAGAAAACTGGAGAGATTTGAGGATAGCATCAGAAGAGCACCAGAGCTGGTTCTCAAAAGTGAGTAAATTTGCCTGGGTTTTAAGAGTTTGGATCTTAACTGTCCCCCAAAGGCCATGTGCTAAAGGCTTGCTTGGTGGCCAATCTGTGGATATTGGGAGGTGGAGCCTAGTGGAAGGAAGTTAGCTCATTGAGGCCCAGGACCTACCTTTCTGCTGTGCATTCCTGCTATGTTCTGCCTTGGCACAAGCCAGGTCACCATGGATTGAAGCCTCTGAAACTGAGCCAAAATAAACTTTTTCTCCTTTTATGGTGATTATTTCAGGTATTTTTTTCTGTGGTAAAAAGCTGACAATGGGAAGTATGGGAGAAAGGCATTCTTGGAAAGTGGAAGCTACTCCCATGACTGACCTGAGACTGACTGGTGGGTGGTAGGGATGAGGATAGAGGAGGGTCAGCCCCTCATGGGCAAGCTCCCACTTGCCATCCCCCTGCTGCCAGGGAAGCGAATCTACCATGTTGAGAAAAGGGAGAATAGAGAGCTGCTGTGTGGCTGACAGCAGCTGTAGTGGAAGACTGACCAGATGGACATGCACTTGAACCTGGGCAGGATGAGTCCACAGACATCCTTCACCATCCTGAGGACACAATGTCCAGGTTGGAAAGATGAGTAGGCCCAGTCCCTGTCCCACAGGCAGCAGAATCAAGTCCTTAGGAGCAATGGAACCTCCCTTTGGAGACCAAGATCTCTTTGCCCAGGTGCCAGTGGCTCATACCTATAATTCTAGCAACTTGGGAAGCTGAAATCTGGAGAGTCGCAGTTTGAAGCCAGTCCACAGCAAATTGTTCTCAAGACCCCCATCTCCACAATAAAAAGAGCAAAATGAATTGGGGGTATGGCTCAAGTGGTAGCGTGCCTGCTTTGCAAGTGCAAAGCCCTGAGTTCAAACCCCAGTCCCACCAAAAAATAAAAGACCTCCTTTTCAGAACCTGCCTACAGGATAC